CTGGACGCGCCTCAGATCTGGGCTCGCTCTGGGGCCGTTTGTCCCGGAGCCTGGCCGACGTCAGCCCGGAGGTGCTGGCCTTCCTCTCCGGCCCCGGGGCCCGCTCGTCGCCCGAGGCCCCACAGCAGCTCGACCTGGCTCTCAGAACCGTCATCCGGAAAAGGAGCGTTCGTTGCCCGCTCGCGGCTCCCGGCAGAGAAGTGGTTGTGCAAGGTCAGCGCGCAGCTGGTAGTGGAGGAGGAACGTGGCGAGGGCGCAAAGCGTCCCTTGGAAAGGCGCGGCAGGGACCTGCCGTGGCAGCCCTCGGCGATTTACTAGTGAAGTTGTAGGTGTTTGCTTGTTTTTGAGGGAGTGTGTAGAAATGCGTGTCCGCAGTCCAGGGGTTGGGAAGTTGGTCCAGGTGGCCAGAGTCCGCGAGGCCCCCGGGAGAAGGTGAGGATGGGCTCGGTCTTGAATGATCAATTAGAAGTTCAGCCGGTAAAGAGAGAAGTTAAAGTTCAGTAAGCAATTTATGCTGACACAGATGAGAAAGACCGTGGTGATTGGACAGAAGGGAACTGACTAGTTTTGAGTGTTTTTCAAGAAAATTTCAGACATTTATTTTGACTGTGGCCTTCAGACTTAAACTACTCCCTGCCTCAAACTTTATTCAGCATTTGTGAACTTCCTACCGTTGCTGTAGCAAATTACTATGCATTTAATGGCCAAACCCAGACAGACTGCTTCTTACAGTTCTGTAGGTTAAAATTTCTGGTGATCTCTCCTGGCTTCTCTGCTCTAGGTTTCATTCACAAGGCCAAAATCTAAGAGCTGACTGACTTGGCTCTTGTCAGGAGGCTCAGGGAGAAAATCCACTTTGCAAACTCCTTTAGGTTGGCAGAACCCTGTTGTTTATGGTTGTAGAACTGGTGCCCTTGTTTCCTTTCTAGTTGTCATTTCCTAGAGGCCTCTCTGGTTCCTCGGACAGTGCCCTATGCCTCTGAGCCTGTAGTGGTTTTGAATCCTTGTTTTGCTTGCAATTCCTCTGACTTCTGCCTCCAGCTGGAGAAAGTTCTCTGCTGTTGAGGACTCATGGGATGAGACTGAACCCACCTGGAAAACCCGGGATACCCTCCCACTTAAGGCCTGTAGCTTTAGTCACATCTACAAAGCTACTTTTGCCACATAACAATGTGTTCATGAATATTGGACATGGGTGTGGGTGTGCCATCCTGGGGAGACCCTCTGCCTACCACAGGCGGCAGTTGCTGTAGGTGTATTCTCCCTCCCCCAGTACTTTCTGCCCTTGTGTCCTTGTGACACTTCTGCATTTCCTCCAGGGGCCTCTCTGACCCAGTCCAGTCTAGAATTCTTCCAGCTTTTATCAGTGGTCATAACAATCTACCTACATAACCTATCCACTAGACTGAGAGGATCAGTGAAACAGCCCACAAAGCCTTTGATCTTACTGTCTTGCCCTGCCTTCCTTTCTCTTCAGGAGGTGATTGATGCTCCTCCTGTAAGCTTCCTGGTACATTCAGTCCTTGCCAGGAAGGCTCTTCAGAGTATTTATATCCTCCATAGAATACTGATGGTGTGGCCTTGTATTCTGCTTTGCTATTTATTAGCTGTGTGGCCCCCAGTTAGGTTTTACAGTGTCTCTGTGCCTCAGTTTTTGCATTTGTAAAATGGGGTAATAAAATATAGTTGTGGGAGTAGTTAAATGAAATTTTGTATTACAAAGTACTTGGGATTAGTTCCTGGCAGTGTTAAGTGCTTAATAACTGCTGTTTTTGAAAGTGGAGACATTCCCAGCTTTTGTATATTTCTCTGCCCTGCTCTGGGTGAGGTCACAGGTCTCAGAGTAACATGACTAAGGAAACATAGCTATTGGTAGCTGACCAGGGTGACACAGAGGTAGAGAACTGGGCCTGCTGTGGAAGATGATTTCAGTTGTTTCGTGCTTGGTTTGTGAAGTGAGGTGTCCGTTCATCTTTAAATTTGATCTTACTGATTTTTTATATTAAAGGTAAACAAGCAATTTTAGGGATAGAGCTTCATACCACCAAAGCTTAAGTTTCAACACAAACTGGCAAATTGCCTTAAGGTTAACTTAGGAGTAGGTGCTCTGCTTATATTTTAATGAGAAGGTGAATCCAGAGTCCCTGTAACCATGAGGATTCCACACAGTTCAGGGCCCAGAGTTCAGAGGCCTGGAGTGGTGTTCACTGCCCTGAACTGGCGTCTGGGGGTCACAGTCATCTAGAGCAGTGTTCAGTCCATGTCACCGCACCCTTTCCTCAACTCTTGGCTCCTGCACCTCCGCAGATGGCTATTGAGAACGAGTGCCACGTGCCTCGTGCTTTCTAGACTGGGCTTTGGCTGTGATAAGACACAGTTGTCCTCCTGGGGTGCTGGGAAGGCCTCTGGAGACTGGGATTGTGACATGCTCATCCTCTTCACGCTGCCTCTGAGGTGACATAGGGCTATGCAGTGGTAATCTGTTATTGTTGTCTTTTTTTCCCAGATGTCCCCAGTGGAACTGTAACTTTTTTACCTTTGGAAGAAAATGAAGATGGGCATTTAGAGGTTAAGATGGACAATGTGTATCAGATTCAGCTCAGTCGTAGCAAAGAAGAATGGTAAGAACTGGACAGCTGGCTCATTTCTTTGCTTTGTGGTTTCAATCAATTACTTGTCTGGGCAGCTGGAAGATTCTGGGTCACTGGCAAGCTGAAGTCCTGTCTCTTGTGCAGGATGGCTTCCAGGGTACTTTCCTGTCTTTTTGCTGGTTCTTGTTGGGTTGGCCGTGTGTTTTGGGATAACAACCTGGCTGGAATCCCTAGTCTCTGTGTCCCACATGGCAGCAGCACTCAGTTTTGATATGAAGTTCAAGTCAACTCCAGTCCTGTTGTTACTTTGTTATTTTTACAACTAGATCAAGAGAAGTGGATGATGCTCCCTTTCACAGTGGGTATTCAGAGGTGCTTATTATTAAAGTAGGGCTTAAAAACCCTTGATTCCATGCAGGATTTAGTCCTGTGCAGCAAGTGTGACATTTGGTTGATTCGATTAGTATTAAATGAACAAGGCAAAAGAAGGGTAAACTTCCTCATTACTCTTCCACTGCCACTTTCCTGAGAGCCATAGCTTATCAGTACTTTTTCAACACTCCTGAGCTGCCTAGAGAGCTGGCGACAGAGCAGGGTTTAGAGTCAGACAGAGCTGGGCTTCCCCAGCAGTGGAGTCTTCGTGTCTGTCACTCTATCCATGTGGCCCTCACTTTCTCACCACTGAAGTGGGTCTGATGATTACTGACCTCTGAGGAGGGGCTGGGCCTCAGGTCCATTGCAGGCCAAGTCTAATGGGAGTGCTTAGACCCTTGAGGACACCTGCCCTGAGGTCCCTCCTTATTGGCATTCTCTCTTGGGAACACATCAACCTGGCATCAACCTGGCATGTACTCATGCAGGAGCTACTGCTGGTGAGCTTTGTGGCCACACCTGTCCCTTGAGGTTATGGCGAATGCACCCAGCAGGACCCCTGGCTACAATAAGCACTAAGGATGAGCCTGCCACATGGAGTCATGCTCGCTGTTCTGAGATAGGCCACTGAGCATTGGCTGGCACCCCTATTTCCTGGTTGGAATTTCCTGAAGTGGCTCCACAGACAGCTGCTGGCATCCCCTTGAGCACTGTTTGCACCGTGGGGCCAGAGGTGACTGTGTTCTAAGTTGAGTACAAACGAGGTGGTATCTGAGGGCTCCTTGTCATACTTCCTTTTGGCTGTACTTGTGTACCTGTCATGTGCTTCGTGCCAGGCATGTGAGGTGAGCAAGTCTCACAGAGGAGACAAAAGATACGTTCTCCATGCTAGGAAGAAAGCCAAAACAGTAAAAGTGGCTCTGTTCCCATGACCCTGCATTAAAAATGGCAGTGTTGGGCCACTGGTTTTATGTCAGGCCAGCAGGGAAAGGAACAACTAAGAAGCAGCCGGAGGGAGGGAGGGAGGAAGCCACGTGGACCTCTGGGGACATGGGCAAAGAGCCTCCCTGGAGGTCCAGGAAGGGTCCTTCCCAGCCCCTCCCAGATCTGTCCTCCATGGAACACTCATGGTGCTAATTGTCCCTTTGATGCATCACGGTGGCCTGGCTCTCAGAAGACTGCCCATATGCTCACTCTTATCACTTGGCAACCAGTTAGCAGCCTTTCTTATCCAAAGACCTTGTTTTGTGTGCTCTTAGGGACCCTTGTTGCCTGTCATCTTTGTTTTTGTAGCTTTTTCTCATCTGACCAATAAGCTTTGAGGGAATGGGCCCAGGGTACAGCCCAGGTTACAGGCCTTGCAGTGTGGTGGTGTCTTCTGAGCCTATATTTGTCCCCGCCTGCCCCCCTGTGGACTGTGAGCTGTGAGCTGTCATTTCTTTATCCGACATAGAGAGGGCCTGCTAGGAGCAGGACATAGGGCAGTTGTGTCCTTGCTGACAGAGAATACATGAGAGACACATGCAGAGGGACCATGCACATGTCCTTTTCTCTGTGATGGAGTTCTGGCTAGGATTGGGGAGCCAGTATACTCACGTTTGAGTAATACACATGAAAATGCATGAAAACTACAAAGTCAGGAAGCCCGAAGCCGGGGCAGGGCTGGCTCTGCACACAGGAGGAGGGCCGGCAGTTTTGCACGGCCCTCTAGCCTTGGGACTCGAGGAGGACTTCACAGCTGGCAGCAGGAGGAGTTCTTTCTGCTCTTAAGTGTTTTTTTTTTTTTTTTTCCTCTAGTAGCCAAAACTTCATGACCACTTTGAGGTCATTTGGCATCTGGTTTAGTAAAATATTTTATAGTTATACATGTGTGTGTTTCTGCTCTGTTCTTTTGGTGAATAAATACATAATTTAAAGTTAGAATTAAAACCAGCCCCACTTACTCATATTTTTCTTATTTTTAAAGGTTCATATCTGTTTTAATTTTCTGTCCAGAGAGGTGGCATTCGGATGGAGTTATATATCCCAATCCTACCTGGCTTGGAGAAGAACTGCTGGCCAGGTTGGCCAAGTGGTCTGTAGAGAGCAAGAAAAGTGAATTTAAAAGCACCCTCTCTCTCATTTCCATCCTGCGGTACAGCCAGGTTTACCAGGAACTTAAAGAGAAGTACAAAGAAATGGTGAAGGTAATTCTGTGGGACATCTGTGAGCCCCTGTAGATGAGGTACCATGATCAGACCCTGGAGTAGAGTGATTCTTCTGCATCTGTCCAGCTGCAGACCCCCAAGTCCAGATGTACCCCCTAGTGTGTGGTGGTTGCTGCGCTCCTGCCTTGAGGGGCGCCCAGCACCCAGGCCCCAGGCAAAATGTGTGGTGGAGAGGTTTGCTCTTTTTTCTACATTATATTTTCAAGAGGTCAGAAGGGAATTGTAATTGAAAATGATTGAACATTGAATTAATTACCGGAAGTCTTTAGTGTGAAGTTGAAGGTGTTTTAAGGAAACACAAAAAGCTCAAGTATTGAGAACTTACTCCCAGGAAAAACACACGTCGTGGTTTCTTGCCCCACAGTCATCACCATCACTGTCTGCAAGGCACTCGAAAGCCACAGCCTGCAACATGATGGTCCAGGCACCAAGAGTCTGGAGGGCCTCTGCCTGGGGCTGGGCCCATTCCCTCAAAGAGCCTTGCCTGTGTCCCCAACTTCCTGCCCACTACTCAGTACTTGCAGGAAGGTACTGCTCATGTTTTTACAGCTTTGAAGATTGTTTACATGAGCTGGCTTCCTGGAGGGGTGTCATGTACTCTGATGGGAAGTGGAATCCCAGCGGTGAGCACTGGCCTTTGGGATTCCTCTAGGGCCAGATGGCGATGCGAATCTTGCTGACCTCAGCAGTGAGACTGTGCCCTTGCCCAGCGCTTGCTTTGCCCCTTCCAGGGGGCCTCAGTGGTCTCTCTGCACATGCCTTAGGGCCCAGGCTCCCTCCCTGCTTTGCAGGGACACTGCCACTGCTGCCACGGGCTAGAGCCTTTGTGTCCAGCTCCTGGCCTGCTTCTTTCCTCCCCCACCACCTGTTTCTTTGTTGTTGTTGTTGTTTTATAATATTTTTTAGTTTTAGATGGACACAATATCTTTATTTTATTTTTATGTGGTGCTGAGAATTGAATGCAGTGCCTCTTGCATGTCAGGCGAGCATGCTACTTCTTGAGCCACATCCCCAGCCCCTGTTGTTTTTATCCACATAAACCGGATCTTGTAGTTGGGCATTTTCCTCTGAGGTCTGACTGCCTCATCTATGCATCTTTTGTGCATTTCTACAGCCCCATCTTGGTCTTGATCACATTGCACCAGACACTTCCTGTTTTGAACATGTAGTGTGTGATTTTGTCTTAATGGGAGGCTCACAGTAGGAGCACTCAGGTGTGCAGTTGTCCTTTGGAGCTGTTGTGTTTTCCCTTTTATTGCACGACCAGGTCAGTTTGACTTGTGCCTTCGAGGATGTCTTACTATGAGGTGGTGGGAAATGGAACAACCATTTTCATGTGCTCTTGAAAATCTTTTAGGTGTGGCCTGAAGTAACTGATCCTGAAAAGTTTGTATATGAAGACGTGGCTATTGCTGCATACCTGCTGGTAAGAAGGTCTGCAGCATGCAGTGTGTGGAGGTTGCCCCTGGGAGGGAGGACGGTCCCCACATCTGTAACTTATGGTGTGCTGGCCGTAGGCTGCTTGCCAGGCTTGTCACGCAGATGAGGGTTTTACTTTGAGTGGTGCTTTTGTGTTAGCATGAAGGGAGCACGCTCTGAAGCCAACTTCAGGTGCTGGCTGGCACTAGGCTCTCACACACACATGCCTTCCATCTCTGGGCCTGGGCCCCTGTCCCTGGGTCCTTCCTGAGCTTGCTCGCTAGCCAGCTAAATTTGGGCATGCCATTTAACTTAGTAGTTTCAATTTTCCTTTTTTTTTTTTTTTTTTTGGCATTAGGGATTGAACCCAGGGGCACTTAACCACTGAGCCATACCCCAGCCCTTTTTAATATTTTATTTAGAGAGAGGGACTTGCTGAGTTGCTTGGGGCCTCGTTAAGTTGCCAGGGCTGGCTTTGAACTTGTGATCCTCCTGCCTCAGCCTCCCAAACCACTGGGATTACAGGCATGCGCTACCACACCTTCCTAATTTTAATTTTCTTATCTATGCAATATTTAGATCATTTTTAGTTTCCCTTTGACTTGTTCTTTTAATTTAGAAATAACAGGTTTTCTGATTATTGAAGTACACAAAACTTAAAGGGGATGAAGACAAAGTGTAAAGAAACTTATTTATAAAGCTTATATCAGAAATCGCCTTTTTTCCCCAAATCTGGGGATTGAACTAGGTATTTGCATGTGCTGAGCATATGCTCTACCACTGAGTTACAGCCCCAACCCTGAATGTGACTCCTGGTGAAGAAAGAAAGAGCAGCTTCGATGCCGCATGCAGTGAGCGTCAGGCAGCAGCAGTGGACTCCCCTGTGCCATTTGCCTAGAGGCCCAGGGCTTCAAGTGAGGCCTGGGAGTGCAATTTGTAGTTACAGGTGGCATTTGGGTTTTTTGATTATTTTGTGGTACTAGGATTGAACCCAGGGGTGCTGTACCATTGAGCAACAACCCCAGCCCTTTTCACTTTTTATTTTGAAAGAGGATCTTACTAAGTTTCCCAGGCTGGCCTCACACTTGAAATCCTCTTACTTCAGCCTCTCAAGTAGCTGGGATCACAGGTGTGGCCATGTGTCCTGCCCAGGAGGGATTTGTGTCTGGATTATTCTTCAACATGTGAACTACAAACTGGCTTTTCTTTGCTGCTTCTGTTTCCTTAGATCCTGTGGGAAGAGGAAAGGGCCCAGAGAGGAGTGACCACCAAACAGTCCTTTGTGGACTTGGGGTGTGGAAACGGTCTCCTGGTCCACATCCTTTGCAGCGAGGGGGTGAGTATGGCTCTGTGGCTTTTGCTAGAGTCTCTTCCTCTTCAGGTTAGGCACAGGGTTCACAGCATCACTTCTGCTGCTGCTTGTCTGGACTCAGAGTCGGCATGGCTGTTAAAATGGGCTTTTCCAGTACTTTGCGAGAATGAGTTTGTGTAATCGCTGCAATCAGGTTGCCTGTGGGACCTGGGAGCTGAGACATGGAGACCACTGGGGGGGTGTCAGCACCCTTCTCCTCCCAGGTAGGGCGTAAGCAGCTTGCCTGGGAGAGCTGGAGCTCGGCCGAGGTGCAAAGAGCAGAGTGCTGGAAGCACAGCCTTGACCAGGAGCTGCTGGCAGGAGTTTAAGCCTCTCTGCCAGGCACGGTTTCTGCCCTGCGTGCTGCACTACCTGCAGACCTTGCATTTTTGTTGCTGGTTTGTTGTGATGTATAAATGTGATCTTTGGTTTCTAAAACTATTTCAGCATCCAGGCAGAGGGATCGATGTCCGAAGAAGGAAAATCTGGGACTTGTATGGACCCCAAACTCAATTAGAGGTACTGACAGCCCACGTGCTTGACTTCAGGCTCATCCCGGTGGCGCCTGTTGAGTGAGTGTGTGTGGCTCAGCCAGCCCTGCGCACCAGGACCTGAAAGTGGAAAGGAAGGGAGACAGGACACTTGAGATTCCACAGCCCTCTGGTCACGTTGAGGAGTGGAAGCTGAGCTCTGGCCATGAGAGGTGCCTCCTCCTGAGCCTGCTGCGTGTGGCATGCATCTCCTACAGAGTGTTCCCATGCCACCTTGGGGTGATGTGCCTCCTCTTCTTAGGTGCTTGCAAGGCTGTGGACACTCCAGTGCAGTGAGTGTTCAGGACCCTGTGGGGAGGCTGTGTGTGCTTGGCCCCCACCCTCCAGGGGCTTTATGGGCTCAGCTGCCTGCCCTCTGGCAGGCTTCATGGGCATGGCCTCCATTCCCACCATACTATATCTTCTGTTAGGCTCCTGGATTACTAGAAGGCCTTTGTCCATGGAGTCAAAGGCATGGTTATGACAGGTCAGAGTCCCATCTACTGGAGGGCAGAATGTTGATTTGAGAAATGAAAACAGTTTTTTATTGTTCCTTGGAGAGTGGAGAGGAGAATGTGAGCCCCATGTGCTCTCCAGCCGTGTCCCTTCCTTTATCTCCCAACCCCCACATGACCCACATTGCCATTGAAACAGGCAGCAGGTATTATTATTTCTCCCATAAATAGAAAGTAAATCCTGGTGCAGTGGCACACGCCTGTAATCCCAGTGGCTCAGGGCCTGAGGCAGGAGGATCACGAGTTCAAAGCCAGTCCCGGCAACGACAAGGTGCTAAGCAACTCAGTGAGACCCTGTCTCTAAATAAAGTACAAAATAGGGCTGGGGTGTGGCTTAGTGGTCAAATGCTTCAGGGTTAATCCCCAGTCTCCCCTCCCCCCCCAAAAAAAAAGTAAAGGTAAGAAAGTAAAAGTCTTCAGGACACTTAATGTTTTCTGTTGCCTTTTAAAGAGGAGAATAATATTGCCAAAAAGGAGAGAGCACTGGAGGAAGGGAGTTTGCTTCAGCTGCCCTGTGTCCTAATTGCTTTTATTCTAAATTTATTCTTTGCTTGTTCTAGAGGGATTTGTAATTGCTTATATACGTTCATGTGTTATAGTAAATTAAAAAATACTTGTAAAACCTCAGGCTTGAAGACCTTTGGTCAGCTGGCCATGTGCTGGGGAAGGCTCTGTGGATGTGTGTGTAGATGCTGATTGTTATATACCTAGCAAAACTAGCCCCCTGATTTGGGCTGTGAGGTTGATGATCAAAACAAAAGGAATAAAGTTGAGTGAGCTGAGGTGGTCAGGCCAGTAATCCTAGAGACTAGGAGGTGGATGAGAAGTTCAAGGCCAGCCTCAGCAACTTGGGGCCCTAGCACTTAGCGAGACCGTCTCAAAGCAAAAATACACAGGGTTGGGATGTACTCAGTGGTAAAGCACCCCTGGGCTCAATAATAGCAGCAACAACAAAAGAGTAATAGCTGACTTTAAATTCCAGTGTCCTGAGGCCTCCCGTCTTTGGGTAAGAAGTTCAAACAGTCAGGACCTCAGGGAAGGGCTGGCTGGTGTGGGTGCTCTGGAGAATGGGTATGAGGTGGGCTGGGCTCAGCTCAGTGGAGAGCCCTTGCCTAGCTTGTGTGAAGCCCTGGCTTCCGTTCTCAGCACCCCATATAAGTAAATGAATAAAATAAAGGTCCATCAACAACTAAAAAAAATTTTAAAAGAAGAACTGATGTTCAAAAAAAAAGAGTGGGTAGGAGGTTCTCGTCATTCCTCGGAGGCTCCCCAGCAGCCTGCCTCTGGCTCTTTTGGGGAGACCCTGCCTGGAGAGTTCTGGTTCTGATCTGTTTTTCTTTTTGCCCCTTAAGCTTTATCTCTGGTCTGGAGGCGCTGACTGGTGTTCCAAGGTGGGGGTAGAAGCCCACTGAGTTCCAGTCACAAGTTTTGTCCTCAGGACTGTGGTTCCACAAGAGTGGCTTTGTTCGCTAATACAAAGTGTTTATAGATTTCCCAGTAAAGTTTTTCCTCCTGATACAGCTGAGTGATTTCCGTGGAGGGCCAGTCTAGAACTTCAAAGGTCAAGTGTGTCAGACCATCTCTTGTCCTTCAAAAACCTCTTTTGCTTTAAAACAAAACTCCTGTTGGTAATGTTTGCACTGTGATGGTTGCAAACTGACTTAATTTTGTGAAACTATGTATGAAGTAGGAAAGTTGCAGTTTGCTGTATTTCCAATGCCAGTGAAGGCTTTTCATGAAGTAGACCGGAGGGCTTTGTTTTCCACGGCACTGTGGCAGTTATGGCAGTCACAGGTGTACAGGAGGGCTCAATTAATTCAACCCACATGAAGAGCCAGATGGGCAGACTCAAACCTAGATTGGGAGGGAATAAAAGAATCATATCTCCAAAGACTTGTTTCACCTGCTTGTGGGTTGGGCACTTACTGTAGGTCCAGCAGTACCATTTTCATTTTTTCAACATCTGTGTAAATAAAAGCACATGTTAAGGACCAGAAAGACTATAGGATTTCAGCTCTACTCTTGTATACTTCACGTCTGCAAAAGGCCCTGCTTGGGTGGCTTTGTTGTGAGGCGTGCCCTTGAGTGGTGAGTGGTGAGCGGTGAGTGGTCACATACCTTCCCATGTGTTCTGACTGCGGATGACAGTTTTGCCCATTCCCTGGGCGTCATGCTGCACCTACAGAAGGAAGGCCGTTGTGGTGGCTGCTGGCTCATCTTCCCCCACTGCGGTGTGGAGGTTTGTGGAAATGTTGCCGTCAGTAACTGGTGATGGCCGCCACCCTCAGGAGCATGTGAGGCGTTGTCTGGCAGGGGCTGGGTCAGGAGGCTTACTTTCTGTCCAAGGGTTCATGGAAGGCAACTGGAGCAGCAGCACAGAATCGAGGCTATGTGTGTGTGACTTCGCTTGTGCTTTGCTTTTGTGAAGCTGGCTTCCCTCTGTGGGAGGCTCTGGGTGGTGTGGCAATGGTGCCTTGTCCTAGCCTCAGGCCTGGCTGCTCTCCCTGGCCCATCTTCCTTCTTCCTGCTGCCAGAGGGAGACAGTTCCTGTGTCCCATCTCCTGTAGCTATTTCTTGGGTTCATATAAAGCCATCTTCTTAATTATCAGGAGATCAACACTCAGAAAAGGGCTAGTCATGTCCCCAGGGATGACCCTAACAGTTGCCAGTGATTTGTGCCCTTGAGGGCTGGCATGGGCAGGGTCGTCACCTTGCTCCTGGTGACTGAGGTGCAGCGAGGCCAAAAAGGGCATGCCCCATGTGGGCTGTGGTCCTGTGGTGTGTGGCTCCATTGCCTCCGTCCTGCTGCCTTGGTGGCTCCACGTCGACTCGACATTTTCTCCTGTTTTTATGCCGTTCTTTAAGGAAGACATGATCACCCCGAGTGATGAGACCCTTTTCCCTGGTGTTGATTGGCTGATTGGTAACCATTCCGATGAGCTCACACCCTGGATTCCTGTCATAGCAGCCAGGTGAGTCGACACTCTTACTGTGAGATATCTATGTCCAGTGTTGAAAGATGGGTCCTCTTTGAAAGTTGGTGTCAGATAACAAAGGCAGACTCTGTCATTAGGTGACCTTTTGCAGCCACGATGTCTTCCAGGTGGAGCTCTCTGCGTCTGTGAGACATGGGTTGCCCTTAGAGCCTCCGTGAGGTGGGGGGCTGCTCCTGGAGGCTCCGCGACAGGTCTCCTTTGCCCAGGGTTCTTTTGAACTGTCTGAACTTGCAGTTCCAGGGTCAGGTCTGCACCCAGGCTTTATGGTGTCTTCCTCTGAGTTTCTTACTCCTAGCTAAGGACTCCAAGTGCTTAATCTCAAAGTATTCTGAATGTTTGGATCACAATGATAAGAATAACTATGGTGGGAAATTATACTTTGCTCAAGTAATTAGATTCACATTGTATTGAAAAGATGCACTGCGCTGCTTTGTTTTTAGATGTTCACTTGGTAAAACACTCGGGGTCACTCCAGGTGAACTGGGCTGCACAAAATAACCACACAAGAGACAGAGATACCTTTTTCTTTGGGTCCTGTGATGGCTCCTCTGACCTTAAGGGTCTGTGGAGAGAGAGAGAGAGAGAGAGAGAGAGAGAGAGAGAGAGAGCGAGCACGCGCGCACACACACGCTGAAACCTTTTATTGGGGAGAAGCCATTCAAATGAGGCAAGGGGTCAGGTTTCAGGGGGTTGAGTCTAGCTTCAAGATGTCTGCTGTCAGCAGGTTAACTGACATCTAGGAAGGCCACGCCCAAAGGCAGAGTAAGAGAAGGGGACACACAAAGGGAATTTCCATGGAACATTCTATCCCAAACAGGGCAAGGGGTAGGATTACAAAAGAACAGGTGAGTGTTCTCAACCCCAGAGTGTGCCTACTCAGAAGACTGGCCTTGCTATCCGAGTGGGGTAAAAGACCAAGTCATGAGTCACTGGCATTACTATGCCAGACTACAGTGATCTTTCAGATCTCCATGGTGCATCAGGACTGGAAGGCATGGTAATGTTACCGCTGTTGACCGGTGACGAGTCCTTGCTTCCCCAATGTTGAAGTATAACACCCGAGAAGCATGCCGAGGAAGGTCAGAGTGGAAAGTAGAAGTTTATTAAAGGACAGCAGAAAAGAAGCATGGTTGTCTCCCCTTTTTATAGCTAAGATCTTCTTGCATTCCTGTCACATTCCTGTCCTTTGTTCTGTCAAGGATGGGGCACAGGTGGGCTAAAGGAGTAATCTGGGCAGGAAGGACTTTTGGGTTAGCATCTCCAGGTTTGTTGAGAGCTGTTTCTCTAACATTTCTTTGGGATGGGGATGGGCCTTGGGGACATTAACATTCCAGGAGTTGTTCTGCTTTTCCCGGAATTCATTCTCAACATGGCCTCCATTTTGGATCTTACTTGATATTAGACCCGATTTACCTAACTACACTGACTACCTGTCTTTAAATCTGGCTTCAGTAACTCAATATGACTCCCCACAACTTGGGAAAGACTAATTCATTCTTTAATATAAAACATGTTGCCGTACTGGGTGAGGTAGCACACACCTGTGATCCCAGCTCAGGAGGCTGAGGCAGGAGGATCACAATTCAAGGCCAGCTTTGGCAACTCAGTGAGACCCTGTCTGAAAATAGAAAGGGTTGGGGGTGTAGGTCAGTGATAGGGCACTCCTGGATTTAATCCTCAGTTCTACCAAAAAAAAAAAAAAACATTTGCCAGGAACAATCTTGGCTGTTCTGCCCCTGTGTGGCCCACACGTGGCTCTCTGCTGAGGCTCGGGTCTCTTGTGGCTGTCTGCAGGTCTTCCTATGCCTGCCGGTTCCTCGTCCTGCCCTGCTGCTTCTTTGACTTCACGGGGAAGTTCTGCCGCAGGCAGAGCAGGAAGACGCAGTACCGGGAGTACTTGGACTTTGTTCGGGAAGTGGGGCTCTCCTGTGGCTTCCACATGGAAGAAGACTGCCTCAGGATTCCATCCACCAAGAGAGTAGGTGTGCTGTGGTCCTGGGGATGTGCTGGTATCCACGTACATGGGCAGCTGGGTCCCTGCAGTCACCCTCAGAGCTGCTTTGCAGATGTCCTTTAGCTGTTGCCCCTGGTGTCTCTGTTTGGGCAAGTCTGACTTTTGAGGTTGGCTTGGTTGATGGAATCGCCTCAAGTTCAGGCCCCTGGTGAGTCAGAGGTCCCACTGTCCTGCTGTTTGCATCTGCGGTCCGGTTACTTGTCAGACCTGGGTGTTCTCAGAGCTGAATGCATGCCAGGTGCGGCCCTGCTCCCAGCAGAGAAGCTGCTGTCCCACCGCAGGTGCAGCTGGGGTAGCAGGGGAGGCTCGGTGTACTGGACTGGCTTCTCACATCCTCTGTGACCTGCCTCTGCTTGGTGCCTGGAGAAGATGTCCATGACCACCACCCTGAGGCCTATCCTTCATTCAGTTTCTCAGGAGGAAGGAAGCTAGGATGTACTGAGCACCTGCACTGCACTGAGCACTCTCCAGGGCCTGTGTGTCCTTGCTGTGGCAGGGTTGACACAGGTGCCTTCTCTCCCTGTCCCCTTGGGAGCTCTGCAGAGTGAATCCCTTGTCTGCTCATGGGGTGGATGTGGTCATCCACTGAGGGTGGGCCCAAGTGACGTGTCTAGAACAGGGTGTGCTTCGAAGCCGCTTTGTTGGCCTTTGCATACCTCTGAAGCTCTGAGTCATGAGATTTTCATGGGCTTTTATTGTTAGTTTTTTTAGATCGTGTGCATTAATGTTAGTTTTTAAAATAAGGATCTTGGGGCTGGCAACATAGCCCCATGGTAGAGTGCTTGCCTAATATGCATGAGGTTCAGCACCGCCAGAAAAATTTTCAAAAACGGGTTCATCACAGATGACTTAAATTCTTGTGTGGTTTGTATTCCAGAATAAGGGAGTTCCATAGGTAGAGAAGTGCTGGAGTATGTGAGCCTGCCAGAATGCTTACGTTGCTCTTTAAAATCAGGTGTGTCTCATTGGAAAATCCAGAACGTACCCACCCTCTGAAGAAGTTTGGATGGATGAGCAGAGGACTCGGTATATTCGCAGCAGGCAAGGCTGCCCCCGGAGCCTGCCTGGTGGGGAGCCTTCTCCTGCTGCACCCCAGGTGGCTGTCGACGGAGGTGCCCACAGAGCCTTGGGTGCAGAAGCCAAGGGTGTATCTGAGGCCTGCACTGCTGCCCATGGAGCAGGGACCCCGGCTGTGGAGCTCTGGCTGCCTGGATTCCACCCTAGGGAAAAGGCCCAGCCTGTGAGGAACTGCGCTTCCCTCCCTCGAGATTTTATTGATCAAGTGGTTTTGCAAGTGGCAAATTTGTTGTTAGGTGGAAAGAAGTTACACACAGGAAGTTCCCAGGAAGGAGTTCTGAAGACCTGGAATGGAGGAGGTAGGCCATCCACACTGGGGTCTGCCGCACTCCTGCTGGCTCACCAGCGTCAATTGTGGGTCTTTGTAGTTAAATGCACTCCAGAAGCTGGGGCTGCTTACTCCCAACCATAGAAATGATACAGCTAGAAAGCAGGGCACCGAATGCCAGGAAATAGCACTGTTCCCTTGAATGTGCAGCTAGAATTTGGAAATGTTAAGATTTGCTAATTCTTGAAATCCTCAAAAGAATCCATAGTGATCAAAGCAGTTGCATTTGATTGTTTCATTGTCTGAGATTAGTGGCATTTGAGAGAGGCAGGCCAAAATATGATCTGCTATTGTATTATTGATTTATTTTTATTTTATTTATTTATTTATTTATGCCAGGGATTGAACCCAGGGCTTCTTACTGCTGAGCCACAACTCATCCCTTTTTATTTTTTATATTGAGACAGGGTCTTGCTAAGTTCTTTAGGGCATTGTTAAGTTCCCCGGGCCGATCTTGAACTTGGAGTCGTCTGGCCTCAGTATCCCAAGTTGCTGGGATTACAGGGGTGCAGCACTGCACCCAGCTGCTATTATATTTATAACGATGGTTCTCCTGCTAAAACTTCCTGGGTCTCAATAAGGAGGTGGGCTCCTTCCCTGCAGGGACACTGGCTGACCACCAGGGGGCAGTGTGGGCTGTCTGCTGGGGTTGGTGTTGCAGACCTACTTTTCTGGAGTCTTGGGAAGCTGGAGGACAGCAAGGAACCCTTTCCCTGAACAGCATGGGACTGGTCCTGCTCAGGCGGAGGCAGTGGCTCCTTCCTTGGCCAAGTGCTCTCTCACCTGCTGCCCTCTCCTGTGCATGATGTGGCAAGACCACAAGCTTGTTCTCCAGAAAGTGTTCAACAAGATAGCCTAGTCAGCAGAGCCCTGCAGGGCCCTAGGAGCCACTGTTGGACCAAGGTGGTTCTGGTCAGGTGGCTGATCTGGTAGCATAACTACAGACCAGCCCCCAGGTTACAGGGCCTTGGGTAGTCCACTAAGTAGGCACAGCCAGGGGTGGAGGCGGCAGGCTAGCTGGGCAGAGGAACCTGGATGCTGAGGTGGGTCTAAAAGTGGTGAACAAAGAAAAATCACTCCTCACTCCAGACTTAGGGCCAACTGGTGGTAGGCCCCGGTCCTGCCTGCTGTGGAAACCCTGAGGCCAGGTGCTAGCACCCTAGAATGGTATTTGCAGGTCCAAGCCTAGCTGGAGGCCCTTAGGTCTCTCCTGGGTGCGGGAAGCTGCTTCCCTGGGGATGGAAGTACACCCTGGATCAGTTGGCCCACAGGTGGCTTCCGGCGCCCTTGGTTCTTGCATTTCCTGCCTGCGGTGCTGCTTCTTACCTCACAACCAGCTCTCCAGCTGACCTATCTGGAGCCTGTGCCTCTAAGGCCCGGCTGGTGGCTGTGGTTGGAGCAGCCTAGGAAGGCTTGGACAGCAGGCTTGCCCCTTGCCCTGCCTCCCTGGCTTCAGATGCTGTGGGTACCAGGGAGGAGAGGGACCCAGGCCACCACCAGACTCTGGCAGTATCCTTTGACGCTCAGCCTGCACAGGACAGTGGGATCCTGGTCCTGCACAGTGTTACGCTGTCTGTGCAGCTCGGATGGCAGAGCCACTGCTCCTGTAGTTCCCATTGTTGTGAGGTCTGGGTTCCATTGAACCCAATGTACAGGCCGGCTACTGGAGCTCTGAGGAATTTGAATTTGCAGGAGGGGATTGAACCAGGATCCAGCCGCATCTGCCTGGTTCCCGTTTGTAATGTCTCGTTGTTTGGGGAAACCCCACTTCTCAACAGAGAGCCTGTCCTTGATGGAAGTGGCCAGGGAGCTGGACAGGGAGACGCTGCAAAGGCTGAAGCACGAGTGTGGAGGCCTGCAGACACTGCTCAGGAACAGTCACCAGGTGTTTGAAGGTGAGGGCCAGCCTGGGAGGGAGTACGGGCTGTGGGCTGCCCTTCCTGGGCCCGGCATGTCCCACACAGGTCTCGGCTTTGCTCTCCCCTTCCTTCTTCTTCATCTTGGGGGAATCACATCATCTTGGGGGAAGTGAACACTTTCAGAAGACCCTGGGGAGGGCACAAATTCCTTGTGCCCACCAGATCACTTAGGACCCTCCTTCCTTGTGTGGGACTGTGACCATCTCTCCCTCTTGGGTTCCCTTGTCTCTAGTCCAGCTTGGCCTGCCCTAGCCTAGGCCCTTGTCCATCCAGGATGTACTCACCGACTGCTCTCATTCCACCTGTTGCTTGGGCATAGCAGGTAACCCTTGGGAAGGCCTGCTGGCTGGATCTCATGCCACACTAGAGCATTCCCAGGTGGTGGTTACGTCTGCTTTGTCTTTGGCCACCTGCACACTGGAAGCTTCCAGGGCACACATCCTGTGAGAGCCGCAGTGTGCAGGGAGATCAGCCTGGGCCCGACTGGCCCTCAGGGAGTTGGGAGGACAGAGATGAATATTGGGGGCAGAGGGAGCAGTGTGTGCAAGGGCCAGGGGCAGGAGCCTATGGGGCGCAGCTGCTGTGGCCAGAGAAGAACTGGGTCTGTGCCTGGCACACAACGATGGTGCCCGCATGAGGACCCCGTCCCCAGCAGTCACTGCTGTTGCCCTGAGGGTCCTGTGCAGCGCTGCCTTCAGCCCTCACGCAGCCCAGCTCCACCGTTACCGAGGGGGCAGTCATGACCTGTGCGGCGCTGCATGGCTAAGCAGCGGGCGGGAGGAGCTAAGTGATTAGCTTGATGCTGTTTCTGTGTGACGCCCTGATGCCCTCCTGAAGGCTGGGCGGGCTGGGGCCCCCATCTTATTATTCTGTGTGGACCCCAAGACTCAGGACAGTTGGTCAGTAGCAGCTCAGGGTTAGGTGGTAGAGAGGACCTTGCAGGGATACACGGGTGGTGGAGGTGCTGTTTGTACCTGAGCCAGCAGACCCTGGGCCTCCTGAGTGTGGCATGTTGCCAGCTCCTCCACCCTGTCCTCTGTGCATGCATGTATTGAGCCCTGTCCTCCCCTGTTTATGCAGGAACATAGGTGTGCATGCACTGCCCTATGTGCACAGGAACCTGGGCGTGCACATTACCCGTGGGTGAGAGGGACCGCGCCCACTTGCACACCCACGGCCTTCGGTGGCCTGGCTGCTTGGGTGGCTGACTTCCCATGAGGTGGTGTGCTGTTGGGATGGGCCCACCTACTAATGCCCTGGAGCCCTGAGTTGGGTGGGTATAGGAGAGGGGACCCAGGTCCCTGGGCAGCTCAGCTGGGCAGCTGTGCCTGGAGCTGCTCTTCCTTCCCCAAAGCTTTGACTAATTCAAACCCTCTTGGAGCAGGAGGCCTGCTGTTTGTTTTTCTGCACATTTTCTTTGACTTCCTGATAAGCACCTCTTCTCATTATAAATGTTATAAAGTTGCTTTTCTGTTCAGTTCATGTTGGGGGCAAAATTATTTTTGGAATCACTTCTGAGTAGGCGGTGCCAAATAAACATTCTCTTCCAGTCATGCAAAAAATATGCACTGAAGCTGGGTCTTATCTCTCTTTGAGGTTTTGTTTTGTTTTTCAGACTAACGTGGCCGGTCTGGAGAAGGGCTTGTGAGAGTGGGAAGGGAATGCTCTTTCACGTGACTTGGGTCAGCTAGTGCCAGCACCCCTGTGTGGCATCGTGCTGGGCTGCAGCATGGCCAACAGTGCTGGAGCCCCGCTGATCATGCATCCGCTCCTGCCCAGGCTGCCAAAGCCTGCATGGAGCATAGGTAGTTGTGCCAGCAGGCAGCCTCTGATGGGCACATGCCATCTGACTGGTGCTGGGGTGCAGCGGCCTCCTCCTCTGACCTGCACTCGGGTGCAGAGAGCCTCCCCCTCTCAAGTTGTGGGCACAGTTCAGAGGGAGGAGGAACTTGCCCAAGGGCTCCTGGCTGGTGGAGCGCCCAGTGCCGGCGCTCCTGGGGCTTGCTTCCTTCTCCGCAGGCTGCTCAGCGCCCTGGGTTGAGGGAGTGCCAGTGTCTGGGCAGGGGAGGAGGCAGCAGTTCCAGGTTGCCTGCAGTCCAGGAACGCCCACGGAGGGAGGAGGAGAGTGGTCAGGGACAGTGTGAGCAGGCTAGCTGGAGCCGATTTTGTTCTGTGATTCTGTTTTAAAATTAGGAACACATTTCTGTAGGAGGAGCACTGTTGGTGGTCTGACTTGGGGCTGGCTGGAGTGTGTGCCTCTGGAGGGCCACCCTTCTGGTCCTCGCATTCGTCTGCCCAGAATGGGAGCTCAGGTATCAGGAGGGGCTGGCAGCAAGCCATGCTCTGCCCTGGCGGTAGACCAGGAGCCATCCTTTGCCCCCTCTGGGGTCTCTCTGTCATTGATGCCCACTGCTGGGCCTTAGGTGCCCTGGCTGGGTCTGTTTTTCCCTGACCTACAGGGTTGTTCCATAATCCAGAGTAGTGGGCCTTAGTTCACAGAGCTGCCCCGGAAGGGACTGCTGTGAGGAGCCTGCCTGTGGGGAGAGTCCAGGATGGCATGGGTGGGGGGCTTCAGGCCGGACCAGAGACTTCTTGGTGTATGGAGTCATATGCCCCATGGGGAGTCTGGCGGATGCTCCTGTCTGCACCAGGGCTCCTCCCAGGCATACTTTAGGGGGTTCCCAGTGACTGTGTTATGCCCTGTGTCTCTCCAGAAGGTGCTACTGTGGGAAGGTCAGTGTCCTAAAGCTGCCCTGGCCCGAGATCAGGTTGCACACAGGGTCACGCAGCCTTAGGGCTTGAGCATCCCTGAAGACAAACCCTCTCAGGCCCATCTATGCAACGAGGCGCCTCTGTTGATCTCATTTCTCTGGTTTCAGAGGAGAATGTCCACCAAGGGTCACTTGAGGGCAGCCAGGTGGGCTGGCCCTGCAGAACATGGGGTGCTGTGGAGGCTGGCTGGGGCTGTACATGCTCTTCTTCAGCTTCTGGAAGTGGGCAGCCAGATTGCTCAGTAGGAGCCCTGTTTCTCTCAGCCTTCCTGTCTGGGTGGGTTTATAGTTTCTGGTGAAAACCAGGAAGGGTTTGGTTTCCTTGGCTGCGTTCACATGGAGCTGGTGGCTTCTTAGAATGAAGTGGCCAAGGAGAAGCCCAGGGGGAGCCTAAGCCTGACCTGGGTGGCCTGGTCCTTAGCCCTGCTTGCCCATCAGCTCCAAGCAGGCTCGAGTGGCCTGCAGCTGCCCTTCCTGGTCACACCCAGCCCCCCAGCTCTGAGTCAGTCCTGGCCATCCTGGGTCCCTCTGCTACAGGCCTGGGCCTGCAGGCAGGCATCTGCATCAGTGTGCTCGGGAGGGTCAGCTGCCCTCGTCTCCATGTGTCCAGGCCTGCAGCCCCCATCACCACCGTGGGCATCTGGAAGGGCTCTGGTTGTGGCTCTGTGTGACCCCAGTGTGGGGCAGATGATAGAAGGGCTTGCACACAGCCCCCACCTCAGGCTGCCCAGAGGGGACCCTCCCCTCCTGCCTCACCTGTCTTCTGCTGGTGTGCTGAAGTGTCCTTGAAGGCCAGCCCCCAGCCCAGATGCCTCCAAGTGTTTCCCATCAGGTGTGCAGGCCCATCTGGAACGGGATAGCAGGCAATGCTGTCCCCCTGAGGCTCCCTCTTTCCTCACTGGCTGGTTCTGGATCAGTCCCGGGGCTCGCCGCCACCCTCTGCACCTCTCCTGCTCACCAAGGCCTTCCTGGCCGTCTCCCGCTTGATAACCCACTGTGCATCCAGGTTCCCAACACTGGGGCACTGCTCCTCCCTCCACCAGGGGAGAACCTTGGTGCAGTCTTCTGCACCTCTGACCCCGCACCCTGCACCAGGGGATGTCGACAGACCCACGAGTGAGTGGGTTTGTGGTCGACGTCTCAGCTGTGTCTCCTGCTCCTCAGTGATGAACGGGCGAGTCCACCTTCGTGACTGGAGACGGGAGCTGCAGAGGGAGAAACCACCTGAAGCCAAGCGGAGTATGTCCTCTGAGGCCTTCAAGACTCGTATCTGTTGGTTCTTCACCCATCATCCTGATGGCTGCATGCTGCCTTCTGCCTGCTGCCCATTTGCCCACGGGCCTGGGGAGCTGAGGCCACCCCAGGCCTCTAAGAAAAAAAGACAGGCCCCCTAATGGTCCCTGCACTGTGCCAGCGGCCTCTCCCGACTCCCTGTAGACGTCATGGTGGTCAAGCATCTCACACAGAGACCAGAGGAGCAGAGGACTCGGGACGCCCCAGCCGAGACTGGGTTTATTTTCAACACAGCCACTTCCAAATGCACCCAGCCTTGTGACGTCAGACAATTCAGATTCTCAGCAGGTCTCCTCAAGGGGCCAGCTGGGGCATCCACTCAGATCGTTCTTGGGCAACTGCTGACCAGCAGGAGCTGCCACACCAGCCTCTTCCCCAGGGGCGGCTGGCACTCTGCAGGCACACTGCTGGTTTCTGGTTTCTGCGTTGAAAGGCCTCAGGCCTCTGTGGTGTGAATTCCCAGAGCCGAGCAGCGGGCACAGCTCTCACCTGGCTGCACCAGGTGGCCGCGAGATCAGAAGGGGTTCCTGTGCAAGGCTCAGAATGTATCTGTGCCTTCCTGTCCTCCATGGGCCCTCCACAGGAGTGTTGACAGTTGTTCTGATTGCTTCCACGTAAACAGTCCCTATGTGTTTACCTTTACAATTATTTCCACAATTTGCCTAAAAGATCTCATCACACACTGGTCTAATTACTTTCCCACAGTGTGTCCTGGGGACTTGCAGTGAGGATGTGTTGCTCATGGTCTCCAGTAGCGATGTGGCTCTGGGTGAGGGTGCTCTGGGCTCTATTCTTTTTTTTTTTTTTTTTTTTTAAGAGAGAGAGAATGAGAGAGAATTTTAATATTTATTTTTTAGTTTTCAGCGGACACAACATCTTTGTTTGTGGTGCTGAGGATCGAACCCGGGCTGCACGCGTGCCGGGCAAGCACACTACTGCTTGAGCCACATCCCCAGCCCTGGGCTCTATTCTTGAGTAAGAGAACTCACAGGGAAGGTGGCTGTGGGCACTGCAGCACTCTAGGGCAGGATGGCCCCGCAGGCCTACCTCCAGGAGGCCCTGGGTCTCAGTCCTGTGTGGCAGGTGTCGCCCGCCCCACAGCCCCTGCTACCTGAAGCCCATGGCTCGGCAGTGCTGGGAGGAAGCTGGTGGCTTGCAGTACACCCGTCTGTGCCAGGCATGGCTTAGGCCTGGGCAGGTGAGGTGCCCATGACCTGGTGCCATGGGAGCAATCCAAAGTCCAGAGCCGTGTCAAGGGGCTGGGGCTCAGCAGTAGAGCACTTCCTCTCACTGTGAGGCACTGGGTTTGATCCTCAACACTGTGTTAAATAAAGATTGTGTCCACCTACAACTACAAAATATTTTTTTTTAAAGTTTCAAAAAATACTGTGACCAGAGTCATACAGCTGCTAGGGCTGGGGTCATTGTGTTGGGGCTCCTTCCTGGGAGGCACTGGCCAGAGGGCATGCTGTGTGACTGGTGGACTGTTTGCCTCTCGCTCTGCCTGGGCACTGCGCTGGGTCCCCTCTGTGGCAGGTGGAGCACATTTTTAGAGTGAATCTGGTTGATAAAGTGACACAGTTTGATGCCAGTATAGCCCGATGATATTTAGTTGATGTATGATGGGGACCCTTGAGTTACACTGTTTGGACATCTCTCCCCTGTGGCCAGGGTCAAGGGCAGGCCGCAGCAGCTTCAGCTGTCCTGCAACCTTGCTCTCATGCCACCCTGGCCCTGCAGTGGCAGGTCCCCTCTACCAGTGATGGCCAGACCATCTGACTGCCAGGAAGAGCTATGATGAAAGGTAGGACAGGGACCTGAGGCCCAGCTGCCCTGTGCAGGAGCTCTGTTGTGCGGTTCTGAGTAGAGCTGGGCAGTCAGCCAGGGAAGTGGAGGGCCCTGAAGGGAAGGCAGTCGCCAGAGAGTGGGCGGCCTATATAGGGCACAGGGCAGGCCTCCAGGGCTCCCCCGGGACAGAACGCAGGAGCCAGTTAATTTGTACTCCTTGGGTAGTTAGGAGGCCATGATTCTTTATCAAAAGAGGCCTGAAGGTGCCTTCCCTGTTGTTCTGATTGATGGGGGGGCGGGGTCACCCCTCTGGGCTTTTCTGTCCTTCCCAGTTGGGGCTGCCACAGGAGGCGGTAGCTTTGCCCTTGTGCAGGGCAGAGGTGGCGAGGGTGCCACTGTCCAGGGGGATGCTTGGGGCCAGGAGAAGGGGTTGCACCTCATTTGGAGCTAAAAGCACCCTTGGTGTGTACATTGGAACAGTGTTTATTAAGCACCTGCACAGGCTGCGCCCCATGTTGGAGTGGCTGCTCCCTGTATTGGGGTGTGGCTGTGCACGCCGAGCCCCAGACAAGGCTGGACCAGGGAGAGAGAGGCAGGTGTCGGGCTGTGGGAGCTGCTGAGCCCTGATGGCCATACTCCAGTTAGGGGTTGGACCCCCATCCTGGGGAGTGTCTCGGGCCTAGGGACCCTGGCCCTGTCTAGTTTCTGGCACAGGGACGGCCCGCCCAGGTATGAAGTCAACACACATTGGACACAGTTCAAGTGCCCGGTAACCTGTGTGCTCACTGGCACCTGCGGATTTTTTTCTGCCCTCATACTCTGGTCAGTATTTTGGTCTTCAGAAATCTTCACGGTAGAGAGTAGGGTTAATTCTTGAATAACTCCTCTTTCAGGAGTTTGTTTCAATTTTTGGAACTCTCAGTATAGTTTTTGTTATTGAGGTTTTGAATTTTTGTTTTGTTATGGGTTGAGCCGGGGACAATACTGCTGAGCCCCCTCTTGAGCCCTTGTTATTTTGTTTTGGGACAGGCAAGTTGCCCAGGCTGGCTTTGAACTTTTGCTCCTCCCACGTCAGCGGGTGGGGCGTTCCTTCACAAGACTAAAACAGCCAGGGGGGTGGGCACTCTTACTGAATTGTTCTCAGAAGTGAAGATTCTCTGCCAGGTTAAAGGCCACTGTCCCTACAGCTGAGGCAGGCAGGTGGGGCATGGAAGGGCCTTGTTCTTTCAGAGTTGTTTCAGACCCCAGTAGAGCCACACTCCTCCTTGGGACCTGGGGGCCTACACCAGGCTCAGTGTGTCCGAGGGTGAGAAGAGGGGGCTCCTGGTTTCCAGGAGCTCAGTGCCAAGGATCCAGGGGCACGCAGGCATCATCACCCAGGTGCCCACGGAGGGTGCAGGCCAGGAGGGTTGGTGAGGAGAGAAGGAACCAGGGTGTGCGCTGGGAAACACCACCAGCCCAGGCCGACCTGTTCACAGGGCCTGAGCAGGCTGCTGCAGCCTCGTCTCCGCCTAGGGGACGATAACCCAGGCCTGTGGCACAGATTCTAGAAGGCTGACTGCTTCTGCCCCTGCAGACCCTGGTGTATAGAAGTGAGACCACATCTCGTGCACAGTCTCAAAGCCCCCAGCCCTGGCTCCTGCTCCCAGCCATTCCACGGTGCCCGTTCTCCTGCACCCTACAGGCTTGTTCTTTGTGGGACCTTGCCCACCCCTCATCGAGCAGGAGGGGAGCTCCCGGGCTCTGGCTGGGTGACTGTGGGCCTTGGGGTGCAGCCCTGAGAGTATGTCTAGACTGATGCTGAAGTGTGTTGGGCCTGTCCCCATGCCTGCCACTCCAGGCTCTGAGCCTGCCCAGGGCTAGACTGGGGCCGTGCCGAGTGAGGAGTGTATCCACACAGTATTGAGTGGTACGCAGAGATTAGGGTGGGGTACCTACACTCCTGTGGCTGTGGGCAGCACTTGGGCCCTGAGGGCTGAGGCCAGGCGGATGCTCACCGCCAGCCTCTCCAGAGGCCAGCTCAGAACACAGCAGCAAGACCGGAGCTGGTCTGTGTCACACGATCACAGAAGTGATGTTTTTCGGTGATGCTCCTCCACCTTTGCTGGAGTCCATGGAGGTAAGCTGCAGGCCCTACCCACACTCAGGAGGCTGTTCAAAGGCATGAGTGCCAAGAGCAGGCTCGTGAGCATCTCAGAGCCTGTCTATTGTGCTCATGCTTGAAGATAGGACATGGGCAGTGCACATGAGCAGTGCACATGAGCACCCACGCAGGACACCCAGGCCAGGTGGGTGATGTTGGGGTGAGGCAACAGAAAGAGGGAGACACCCTCTGCCCTCGCGACAAGAGTGGCAGGCCCAGCTTGGTTTCCTTGGCCTGTGACCTAGGGCAGCCTCCTCCCTGGGTCTCTGCTTCACCTGCTAGAGGAGGGCTGGACCTGGCTGGTCCTCATCCAGGGACATCGTTCCCATCCCCAGCTGCAGGGTGGTCTCCCATTTTTACCCCAAATACAGATTGCAGAATCACATCGGTTAAGTCCAGCAGATGCACACTCACTCAGACCAGATGCACACTCACTCAGACC